CATGTGGTGAAACACATGGTTCTTGCTTTATCCTGCCGCAGACGGAACAAAGCTGGAACGAAAACTTGGCACACACAGAGAAGGGTAGTGACCAAGTGGAATGTCAATTGACTGACAATCTCATGATTAAGAAAGGTTTATGGGATACTGGAAGGCCAAAGTTGATACATGTCTCTTTATTTGTGTTGACTAGTTGAAATTACAGTGTGTCCACAAAGTGTGTTTTACATGAAGTACACCACTTAATTTTATCTCAGTTCTGCACCGTTAGGTTTGTGTGAAGGAAACCTTACAGGGATCCTCAGCAGACTTGGACATGGAGAAATACAGACATGAAGGAAATAAACATTCATCCTTCCTAAAAAATCAAAGTGCTGAATATGAACATTGCTGTTGCAGAGAAGCAGGAAATCCTGCAACTGTTTCCATGGGGACAGAGCATGGAGGAGAAAGAGCCTGGAACAGCTGAAACATGTGGAAAGCTCAGGGCAGGTTTTGCTAAAAGAGATGGAGGTTTTAGTTTAATGTCACCCGCCCCGTTTGAGCATCTTTAGTGCGTGGCCTTCCTCTTGCCCGCAGAGGGAGAAAAGGGTAAATCGAGACCTTGCCGATGAAGTTCTAGCACGCAGGTCTCCTCTGGTCCATTCAGGTACATCTGAGAACAATGTTAATAGGGATTAGGAAACCAGGATATAATCCCAGACCTGTGAAAGTCCCTGAAAGCATAAGGCTTAGCATGGGACAGATTTGGTTCCAGTAAAATGAATCATTTGAACTAATAAAGGGCTATTGCATTCTATACAATGTATTCTGCTAAAATAAATGGGCTAACAAGTACTTTTGCTAAAAGTTGAGTCTTGGTTTAGTAAAAAAAAGGAAGAAATGCCACGCAAGGCACAGAAGTGGCTCATTTTACCTTCAGAAGATCAGCTGATGGTACGTCTACCAGAGCAGGATTTCCACACTTCTCTTGATATTCCTGAATTAGGGCTCTTGCATCATCAAAGCTGTGGGAGGCAAAAGTTTATCATGGTTGACAATGTGTTGTCTAAAAAGCCAAAGAATTAGACTATACGCACTGAAGTATAAAAGTAAGGTGTGACCCCGCATTTTTGAAGTCGGATAGGTTCTGTCGTTTCCCAGTAGAGGGAAGCAAGCTGGGACCAGTGTAGTATTTACCTGTGGCTGTAATAAAACCAATATATACTAGGATTTAAGTGGTTATTACTGATTCCTGTCCCGTTTTGCCTGCAGGATAGCTGGTACCAGCCACCTGCAGTACTGTTTGGGGTCTGAAAGGGAAAGTGGCAGCTGTGCACAATGAGCCCAAGTGCTGTGAGTCACTGATTGCTGATTGAGAGCTCTCTTGGCAGGTTCAGTGGCCAGATCCTTTGTTTTGTTTGAGTGGAACACAAGGCATATCTAACTTCAGGAAAACAGCCTTGAGTGCAGGCAGTCCGTGTGTTTTTTCAGTGTTCTTACTGCTGAAGCTGTGACTCCATGCTGCTGCTAAGCTGAATTCATCTGAAGGTACAGTGAAGTGACTCAAAGCTAACATGTTTGCTTTTTCTGTTGGGTTAATTCTGCTATTTTAACTGATCTGCTTGCCAGCCCAGGCTCAAATGGTGTTACTTTGGCTTGAATGAAACTCTGAAACTCCATCCTAAGGATGCAGAGTAGTGAGGGGCGATTTTTATTTTGGTCATTTAATTTACTCTAAAAATTCTTAGAGACTGAGTACTACAAAATCTCCATGACTTCAAATAAATGAATATAAAATAAAGGAGAGATTAAGTTGCTGTAATTACTGCGAATAATGCATCACCCATTTAACTTACCAGTTCTTTTTAACAAAATAATCCACCAATTCTCTCAGTCGGTGAGTATTCATCAGTTGTTGCTTCAACAGTGGAAAATACTTAGTTTTCAAGAATTTCTCATATAGCTTATCATTTATGATACTGTCCAAAACCAAAGATCTAATCTGTAGATTTAAGGTTTAACAATGGAAAAGCATTAATATTTTTAATAAGTATTTGCTTTGGAATGAAAAGAGCTCAGAAAGAGCAGGATTATCATTGTTAGTGCTGCGAAATGGCAGATTTTATGAATACTGATCTCAGATTCAGATAGGCGTTAGGAAACTTGCCTGCAGGAAGGCAGCCCACGGCAAGGCAGAGTGCAGATTCAGAAGCCCTTTGGCCTTTGAGCTTAAAACATTTATTTAGAAAAATAAGGTAGCGCTGCTGCAAACAGTGCTGTCCCACAAGCAGGGCAGCCTGTAGCACAGCACTGTGAACATACACCGGAAGGTTTTTCCCTTACACAGTGATAAAAATGCAGAATTCCCTGTAAATATTGCTAGATTTTAAAGTGTGCGTTATGTCAACTAATGTTTGGCAAGATCAGTGGAGAGAGGGGGGAAAAAAGCATTCTGGATGCACTTATCTATCACAAAAAGCCTCCAAGTCAAAGGCAAGTGAAGTAAACAGTGGGTATTTACCTGAGAAGCAAATCCTACGATTTCTCCAGTGTTCATGTGTTCATCTGTTTGTTGCAGCACAGTTTCCATGTTACATGTCGATAAGAAACCCTTGAAAAAATAATTGTGAAAACCATGAATATTCTGTGAATGATGAAAGTAGAAACTCTCCCTTCAGAGCAAGTACTTGATTTATGCTAGACCAGTTCATATTTTGTAATTCTAGGTACAAAGACGAAATTATCAAACCAGGATCTGTGCGGTTTGACTGAAATAGTACGCGTTGCTTTTAGCCCTCAAAGGGTATTTTGCTGTAGCCATTATAGATGTTCGGGGTTTTGACTCGCTGTCAGCAGGCTGAATGTCTTGCACTGATGCTGTAAGTTGGGAAAATCTTCCCGAGCTTAACTTCCACGACTGGAAGTCTAGGAATTTAAGATGCCTTTGCTAGTGACAAATACAGGAACAATCTTTAATGCTTCATCTGGGAGAACAATGCAGAACGCCAGTTAATGGACAGAAGTGAGAAAGGAAACGCTCACGATACAGAGCCGTATCCTCACCACTCCTAAGGCAAAAAGTTTGTATCTGAACTTTTGACACAGATCAAGCGTCTTTCTAAGAAGTCGGGAGCTTTCAACTCCTTTTCCAAAGTAGGATTCGGTCGGTACTTCTCTTACAATCTGCTGTGAAACTAGCCCACCGGTAGCTCCTTAGCAGTCCTAGATGTCACCATACCCTAGCAGGTGTGTGGCTGTGGCCTGGGGTTTGGTGTTTGCTGGTGGGTTTTTTCCTTGGGTTTTATGGGTGGCATCCCATAAAATATCCTCAGAAGGCGAAGGGGTATGATAAAGCAGCTGAGGATGACTTGAAGCTAGCGGGTTTTGCTTTAAAAAAAAAAAAAAAAAGGCAGTGTTCCCATGATCCCTTTCAGAAGGACAAATCCATGGCAATAGCCTTTGCGGTTGGGAAAGGCTAAGCAGCAGTCAGCAGTGACATATTTGAGTCAGGAGCGATTTTAAGTTACCATCTTTCACAGTCTCTGTTGAACAGAACATGCTTAAAGATGTTTCCCTTGCACAGAGAGAACACAAAACTTATATTTACCTGAATTTGCTGCTCTCGCTTCTCAGACTGAGGAATCAGCAACAGGCACCCCAAAGCAAAAGCTGGAAGGTCCAACTGTGCATATTGTTTTGCTATTCCGATGACATCCAAGTCAGCCAGAACAGGGCACCTTTGGAAGAAGATTAGGAGTGAAGCTCTCAACTATGATATGTATAACCAGATACCTTAGTACTGCCAAAAAACTGCATTGAGACTTTAAACCAAAGGGAACAACACATTTTAACTTCATCTTATTTCCAGAAATGGCCAAACCATGTGAGTTGAAGTTTCCCAGAAGACAAATGCATGAGGATTTTCTAGCTTGAAAACCCCCCACCCAAGTCCAGCTTCTCTTTCTAAACACCCAAGGCCCTGTTTTGAGCGGAAGTGTTGGCCAACTGCCCTGAGTCATGATGTATGTGCACAGTGGCGTGGGCATGTTCTTCAGCTGGATCCTTTTCCAGTATTTCCTGACTAACTGTTGGCTCAAGTCAGGTGCACTGAGCTTTGGTTCTTCTCCTGAGCAAGCTG